TGTTATACAGATTCAATGCAATCCCAATAGAAATTCCATCAACATACCTTATAGATCTAGAGAAATCACTCCTAAATTTCATCTGGAACCAGAAGAGACCCAGAATCGCAAAGGCAATTCTAAGCAGCAAAGACAAAGCAGGAGGCATCACAATCCCTGACTTGAAGTTATACTACAAAGCAACAGTAGTAAAATCAACATGGTATTGGAATCAAAACAGAGCCGAAGATCAGTGGAATAGATTAGAAGATACAACCACAACTACGAACACACTCAACCACCTTATCTTTGATAAAGGAGCCAAGCAGGTTCACTGGAAGAACGACAGTCTCTTTAATAAATGGTGCTGGAAAAACTGGCTCTCCATTTGCCAAAAACTAAAGCTAGACCCATGTCTATCACCATGTACTAAATTAAAATCTAAATGGGTCAAAGATCTGAATATTAAAACAGAAACACTAAATCTATTGGAAGACAAATTAGGTAGAAACCTTGGAGACATAGGAGTAGGTAAAGAATTCATGAACAGGACTCAAACCGCACGGGAAATACTTCCCAGAATCAATAACTGGGACCACTTCTTATTAAAAAGTTTCTGCATGTCAAAAGAAATCTGCAGCATAGTGAAAAGAAAACCCACAAACTGGGAAAAGATTTTAGTGAACTCTCTCTCAGACAAGGGCCTCTTGTCTAAAACATATAAAGAATTAAAGAAACTCAGACCTCCAAAATTCAAAGATCCAATCCAAAAATGGGCATCTGAGATGAATACGCAATTCTCAGATGAAGAAATGCAAATGGCAAATAAATACATGAAAAAATGCTCATCATCATTGGTCATTAGAGAAATGCAAATTAAAACCACACTGAGATACCATCTCACTCCTGAAAGAATGGCCAGGATCAAGAAAACCGACAACAAATGCTGGAGAGGCTGTGGGGAAAAGGGAACTCTTCTGCACTGCTGGTGGGAGTGTAGACTGGTACAGCCTTTGTGGAGATCTGTCTGGAGATTTCTCAAAAAGTTGGGACTGGAAGTCCCATTTATTCCAGCTATTCCACTTCTAGGCATATTCCCAGAAGAACTGAAAGCATCATACCACAGTGATATATGTGCACCTATGTTTATAGCAGCACAATTTGTAATCGCCAGATCATGGAAACAACCCAAGTGTCCATCAACTGAGGAATGGATAAAAAAGTTGTGGTATTTCTATACAATGGAGTATTATTCAGCTATAAAGAAGGATCACATTGAGATATTTATCAATAAATGGGCGCAGCTTGAGACCATACTCATAAGTGAAATAAATCAATCTCGCATGTGTGAATACCGAATAGTTTCCCTAATGTAAGTAATGATTCAAATATATAAAAATATGTGGTAATCATGATTCCCCATTAGGTGGCCTTGGAGCCTTATAAAGTTTTCACTCATTAATTAGAAAGGCTTTATTCTGGGCTTCTTGATTTGAAAATATTTGAAGCTAGAGTATATGAAGTTTTATCCAAATATTTCAAGGAAAAAGACACTATGGTAACTACTATTAAGTCAGGTTATATGGTGGTGAAGTACTAGGTTGTTGAAACAGTCATGCTGTGACCTCTATTGTTATATTGTTATGTCCTGTTTTATCTCAATCTCCCCCTTATTGTTTTAAAAAAATTAGTCATTTCTTATGTTTGTCTTAATTAAAGAAAAAATTCAAATAATTAGGATATATAAATAATAACTCTTTTTGATTTCCTATTAACTTGTTTTGAAGTCCTGTAGTACTCCCACGATCTTGTTTTGACTGATTAGACTCTGTTCCATTCTATATGGTAGTATCAAGTTTGAAGACATAGGCAACTACTTTGAAGACAATAAGATTCACTAAGATACCCATTCTGGTTTGACTATTGTCTTCTTTGGAAGTCCTGTAATGTTTACAATGCCTAAGTTGTATTGGTCTTGTTCTCTACTGTTTTGTCCAACTTTATAATATCTAATGAGATAGACAATTCTTTTTAAGGAAACAAGGGACAACGTTGATAACCATAGTTGATAAACTTGTACTGTGTTCTACACCATGTGCTATGTCTATCCTTGGTATTGACTGACAGCTTTGTTTTGCCATATTTGACTGTATTCTCCCCCCCTTCCCCAAAAGTAATAAGCACTAAGGAGTAATGAAATCCAAAGTGTGTGAATTTTGTTGTAAAAAAGAGAGGGGAAGAAAAAAAAAAGAGCTCTAACGGATATAACAGCAAGTGTGTTTAGGGGTGTTAAATAGCTGACTGTATCAATGTTTGTGGATCATTGAACACAGATGTTTGCAGTCTACCTGTTTGAATGTCCACCTTGTATTCTTTGATACTGTGATTTGAGGAACTATTTTCAAGATGATAATATGTAATATACTAACAGGTGATTTCTTACTGTTATGTTTTTTTTTGTTTGTTTGTTTGCTTTGTTTTTGTTTTGTTTTGTTTTGTTTTTTTTGTAGTTCTGTATTACGTGTACCCTTACACCGCTTTGGTTTGTTTTGTGTTTTTCTCTTTTTCCTCTTAAATAAAAAAAAAAAAAAAAAGTGAAAGTTTTGGTAAAATGGAGAGAAAGAGGAAGTCCCTTTACTTGTGCTGTCCTTTTAGTTGTATTTTTACATTCCACGCATTACATCCTACTTTATGGATTCCAAGTACTATTTATCAACTATGATATGAATAATGCTTATATGACTAAGAGCAATGCCAATGATAATAATACAGAAATGACACTGCAGTAACATCTAGATGTCTCCAGGAACTGTTGGAGAAACAGTATCTAGACAGACACCAGCATGCCTGGGCCAGAGTTCCAACTCCACCAGTCACCAGCAGTGGGAGCTCTATAAAATCTTTCCTCTTAGGTATTATTGTGTTTTCTGTTTTGATAAAGTTTAATATTGCAGGAAAGCTGAGGTAAAAGTTTCCTCAGGTCAAGTGCAGTCTTGATAATTTAGTCAGAAGATCTCTCAAAATTTAAATCAGAAGCTGGGCTTCGTGTCACACAGCTGTGATTCTGTCACTCAGGAGGCTGAGTCAACAGGGTTACTGTAACCATGAGACCACCTTGGAGAGGCACAGGAAATTCAAGGCCAGCCTGGGGTACACAAAATGTCTCGGCACAGGGATCATTTACACTTTCCCTTCTTCCTTTTAGTTTACTTCTCCCAGAACAAAACCTCATCAGCCATTATTTGGTATGGATTCCTTCTGCACTGAGTCCTACACATGGCAAAGTGACTCACATGGGTTTCAATCTGAATTTTGCAATCTTCTAATCTAGGGCTGGAGGCCTCACTGTTAGAATGGCACCCATCATAATTCACCTTGTTTTTCTTTTTTAATGTTGCTTTCCAATGGACCACATTGTCTTTTTTGAATATTTTCCAGTTGTATATGGTACCACTACCAATTTTTCAACATCTCAATACCTTTGTATATGACACTTAAAGTAAGATGATGGCCCCTGGCATTTTAATTCACAAATGACACCTTATCAACATGTCAGCATGTTATGTGTATGAAAAGTATAGTACAACAACAGGACTAATTTATTTGAATTCTAGAAAAAATTGTTTCTCCACATTTCATCATAGAAAACACTAGGCAGAATTCTGTAGCTCCCTTATAACAAGTCTTTTCTTGTTGTTGAGACAAAATAACCAGACTCACAAGTTAAGAGAGGAAAGGTTCGGAACTCACAGTTTATAGAGGTTTCAGTTCATACTAGGCTGGCTCCAGAACAGGGAGGCATTGCAGAGGGGCATCACGGACCAGAAGACAAGCAGGAGCAGCAGCAGCAGCAGCAGCATCAAGCTTTTTTCTGTCCCTACATCTTATCCAGGTACTCACCTTTAGGGCAGGTAGCACTCATACCGTTAATCTTAACATCACATCCTTGATCCCAGAACTATGCCAAACCAACCGGTGGACCAACTTGGTAATCACATATCCTGAATCCCAACATCATATTTTACAGATCTAGTCACCTATGAAAAACACCCATCTATAGCTCCATGAGAATTTGGGGGACAGGTAGGCAGGAGACATAGCAACAAGCATCTGTGTAATGGAGCTCGATGGATCAAATTGCTGTGACTTTAACAAATCAGTCAGTGGAAGGAGCCACCTCACATCTCCACTTTCATGCACACAATGTGTCCTTGTGGTCCTAATTCCCACACAGGTGAACACGGGCCACAGAAGAATCTGCTCTGCCTGGTCAAGAGGTATATGGTTTTCATTACACATCAACAAACTGTCACCCAGTCTTATGCGTTACTCTTAGACTGGACAAGTTTAAATGGCTGATAAACACTAATCAATGGGGAAAAATCATGAAACTGCAATGCTAGGACCACTAGTTCCTCAGTAAGACAAATATCCATTTCTACTTTGTTACTGGCATCTTTTTCCTTGCTTACAGTCAAAGAAAAATACAGTGTCTCTGGGGAAAATGCTTGTGTAGTGCCCTACTATCCATTCTTGGTGACCATATAAATTACAAAATATCATGGAAAAGCTTTCATTGCAACAGATATTCAAAGTCTTAGATTCAGCAATTCAATTTCCTGGAATTTTAAAAGTTATTGTATCATATTAGCTGAGACTCGTGACACACAGTAATATATCAATGTCCAGATCAGCATTATTCCCAAAGAAGTGTGGGAACAACTCTCAAATCCTTCAATGGATAATGGATAAACAAATGTGGTATGTGTAAAATAGGGATTTTAGGCTATAAAAATCTTTTGTATTAAAATATCACTGCCAAAGTCATGAATTGCATGAAACCATTTATCTTCCATAAAGTTAAGAGGACGTCACTACTGCTAGTAAGGAGGTATCAATATGATTACAACAAGTGTTTTTATCAGTGAAACTTTTCATAGTGCCTAAAATATTCCTATGTACTAGCAGAGAAATAAGAACTCCTTTCAAGTACGATAGAAATTAAAAACAAATGGACTCACCAAACTGTCATTTGACAAGTGTTTCTGAGCATGTTCAACTTTTCCTGCTGTTTTCTTCCTTTTCTTTGTCTGGCTCAAAATCTCCATTTCGAGACTTTGAACATTTTCTTTCAGGTGTGAACACACCAATTCAATCCTAAAATATTGATTTCAAAATAATTATTTGCACAGATCTGTTAAAAATGCATAACCTTTGAAAGACTACTCACAATTTTAAAAGTTAGAAAAAGTAGATGATTTGGTAGGTAAGATTTTTCTCATTGTGCTTGTTGACACTTTTTCTTTGGCATTATTGGGAGTGAACACAGGGCTCCACGTGGAAAGCACATGCTCTCTCCTCACTGTACTATTTCTGCTCCCCTAAATTACTCCTTTCAGGTACATTTATCAAAGCTAGAATTTTCCCCTGGCCTAATGAAGATTTAGTACTTATATAACTGCAATATGTCTCATATTATGCTGCTGATTTCCTTTAGAGATGCTCAAGTCATTTGGTTAAGCCATACCTGTCTAAGGGTTCTTCCGTTTTTTCGTCGTGTTGCACAGAGCTTGTATCTCGGTCTTGTGCTTCTGTCAACTGAAAATTAACAAAAATATTTATTAATAACCTGCCCATCCCTGGTGTTTGTTTCATAACTGTAGTGGGCACAGCTATAATGCTCCACCTCCGTATGGTTTATAGTTACCTCTGTGCTGTGTCTACACCGTTAGCTGAACTGCTGACGCAGGGATCCAATGGCCCACACCTTACAAAATAACACCCTCTCCCCACTACTTAAGTTACCGACCCCAGCTCTAGGTCTGAAACATATTATATTCCTGATTTTAGACCTGTTAGCAGGTCCTCAAACTGACAAAACTAGAAGGTTAGCACAGTGCTATGGACCTGCATTCCTGGCTGCTTGGTAAGCTGATGCTTGAGACCAGCCTGGGCAACTGGGGGAGACAACTCTTTTGCAGGAAACTATAAAAGTGAAAGTTTTGGTAAAATGGAGAGAAAGAGGAAGTCCCTTTACTTGTGCTGTCCTTTTAGTTGTATTTTTACATTCCACGCATTACATCCTACTTTATGGATTCCAAGTACTATTTATCAACTATGATATGAATAATGCTTATATGACTAAGAGCAATGCCAATGATAATAATACAGAAATGACACTGCAGTAACATCTAGATGTCTCCAGGAACTGTTGGAGAAACAGTATCTAGACAGACACCAGCATGCCTGGGCCAGAGTTCCAACTCCACCAGTCACCAGCAGTGGGAGCTCTATAAAATCTTTCCTCTTAGGTATTATTGTGTTTTCTGTTTTGATAAAGTTTAATATTGCAGGAAAGCTGAGGTAAAAGTTTCCTCAGGTCAAGTGCAGTCTTGATAATTTAGTCAGAAGATCTCTCAAAATTTAAATCAGAGGCTGGGCTTCGTGTCACACAGCTGTGATTCTGTCACTCAGGAGGCTGAGTCAACAGGGTTACTGTAACCATGAGACCACCTTGGAGAGGCACAGGAAATTCAAGGCCAGCCTGGGGTACACAAAATGTCTCGGCACAGGGGTCATTTACACTTTCCCTTCTTCCTTTTAGTTTACTTCTCCCAGAACAAAACCTCATCAGCCATTATTTGGTATGGATTCCTTCTGCACTGAGTCCTACACATGGCAAAGTGACTCACATGGGTTTCAATCTGAATTTTGCAATCTTCTAATCTAGGGCTGGAGGCCTCACTGTTAGAATGGCACCCGTCATAATTCACCTTGTTTTTCTTTTATAATGTTGCTTTCCAATGGACCACATTGTCTTTTTTGAATATTTTCCAGTTGTACATGGTACCACTACCAATTTTTCAACATCTCAATACCTTTGTATATGACACTTAAAGTAAGATGATGGCCCCTGGCATTTTAATTCACAAACGACACCTTATCAACATGTCAGCATGTTATGTGTATGAAAAGTATAGTACAACAACAGGACTAATTTATTTGAATTCTAGAAAAAATTGTTTCTCCACATTTCATCATAGAAAACACTAGGCAGAATTCTGTAGCTCCCTTATAACAAGTCTTTTCTTGTTGTTTAGACAAAATACCCAGACTCACAAGTTAAGAGAGGAAAGGTTCGGAACTCACAGTTTATAGAGGTTTCAGTTCATACTAGGCTGGCTCCAGAACAGGGAGGCATTGCAGAGGGGCATCACGGACCAGAAGACAAGCAGGAGCAGCAGCAGCAGCAGCAGCATCAAGCTTTTTTCTGTCCCTACATCTTATCCAGGTACTCACCTTTAGGGCAGGTAGCACTTATGCCCTTAATCTTAACATCACATCCTTGATCCCAGAACTATGCCAAACCAACCGGTGGACCAACTTGGTAATCACATATCCTGAATCCCAACATCATATTCTACAGATCTAGTCACCTATGAAAAACACCCATCTATAGCTCCTTGAGAGTTTGGGGGACAGGTAGGCAGGAGACATAGCAACAAGCATCTGTGTAATGGAGCTCGATGGATCAAATTGCTGTGACTTTAACAAATCAGTCAGTGGAAGGAGCCACCTCACATCTCCACTTCCATGCACACAATGTGTCCTTGTGGTCCTAATTCCCACACAGGAGAACACGGGCCACAGAAGAATCTGCTCTGCCTGGTCAAGAGGTACATGGTTTTCATTACACATCAACAAACTGTCACCCAGTCTTATGCGTTACTCTTAGACTGGACAAGTTTAAATGGCTGATAAACACTAATCAATGGGGAAAAATCATGAAACTGCAATGCTAGGACCACTAGTTCCTCAGTAAGACAAATATCCATTTCTACTTTGTTACTGGCATCTTTTTCCTTGCTTACAGTCAAAGAGAAATAAAGTGTCTCTGGGGAAAATGCTTGTGTAGTGCCCTTCTATCCATTCTTGGTGACCATATAAATTACAAAATATCATGGAAAAGCTTTCATTGCAACAGATATTCAAAGGCTTAGATTCAGCAATTCAATTTCCTGGAATTTTAAAAGTTATTGTATCATATTAGCTGAGACTCGTGACACACAGTAATATATCAATGTCCAGATCAGCATGATTCCCAAAGAAGTGTGGGAATAACTCTCAAATCCTTCAATGGATAATGGATAAACAAATGTGGTATGTGTAAAATAGGGATTTTAGGCTATAAAAATCTTTTGTATTAAAATATCACTGCCAAAGTCATGAATTGCATGAAACCATTTATCTTCCATAAAGTTAAGAGGACGTCACTACTGCTAGTAAGGAGGTATCAATATGATTACAACAAGTGTTTTTATCAGTGAAACTTTTCATAGTGCCTAAAATATTCCTACGTACTAGCAGAGAAATAAGAACTCCTTTCAAGTACGATAGAAATTAAAATCAAATGGACTCACCAAACTGTCATTTGACAAGTGTTTCTGAGCATGTTCAACTTTTCCTGCTGTTTTCTTCCTTTTCTTTGTCTGGCTCAAAATCTCCATTTCGAGACTTTGAACATTTTCTTTCAGGTGTGAACACACCAATTCAATCCTAAAATATTGATTTCAAAATAATTATTTGCACAGATCTGTTAAAAATGCATAACCTTTGAAAGACTACTCACAATTTTAAAAGTTAGAAAAAGTAGATGATTTGGTAGGTAAGATTTTTCTCATTGTGCTTGTTGACACTTTTTCTTTGGCATTATTGGGAGTGAACACAGGGCTCCACGTGGAAAGCACATGCTCTCTCCTCACTGTACTATTTCTGCTCCCCTAAATTACTCCTTTCAGGTAAATTTATCAAAGCTAGAATTTTCCCCTGGCCTAATGAAGATTTAGTACTTATATAACTGCAATATGTCTCATATTATGCTGCTGATTTCCTTTAGAGATGCTCAAGTCATTTGGTTAAGCCATACCTGTCTAAGGGTTCTTCCGTTTTTTCGTCGTGTTGCACAGAGCTTTTACCTCGGTCTTGTGCTTCTGTCAACTGAAAATTAACAAAAATATTTATTAATAACCTGCCCATCCCTGGTGTTTGTTTCATAACTGTAGTGGGCACAGCTATAATGCTCCACCTCCGTATGGTTTATAGTTACCTCTGTGCTGTGTCTACACCGTTAGCTGAACTGCTGACGCAGGGATCCAATGGCCCACACCTTACAAAATAACACCCTCTCCCCACTACTTAAGTTACCGACCCCAGCTCTAGGTCTGAAACATATTATATTCCTGATTTTAGACCTGTTAGCAGGTCCTCAAACTGACAAAACTAGAAGGTTAGCACAGTGCTATGGACCTGCATTCCTGGCTGCTTGGTAAGCTGATGCTTGAGACCAGCCTGGGCAACTGGGGGAGACAACTCTTTTGCAGGAAACTATAAAAGTGAAAGTTTTGGTAAAATGGAGAGAAAGAGGAAGTCCCTTTACTTGTGCTGTCCTTTTAGTTGTATTTTTACATTCCACGCATTACATCCTACTTTATGGATTCCAAGTACTATTTATCAACTATGATATGAATAATGCTTATATGACTAAGAGCAATGCCAATGATAATAATACAGAAATGACACTGCAGTAACATCTAGATGTCTCCAGGAACTGTTGGAGAAACAGTATCTAGACAGACACCAGCATGCCTGGGCCAGAGTTCCAACTCCACCAGTCACCAGCAGTGGGAGCTCTATAAAATCTTTCCTCTTAGGTATTATTGTGTTTTCTGTTTTGATAAAGTTTAATATTGCAGGAAAGCTGAGGTAAAAGTTTCCTCAGGTCAAGTGCAGTCTTGATAATTTAGTCAGAAGATCTCTCAAAATTTAAATCAGAAGCTGGGCTTCGTGTCACACAGCTGTGATTCTGTCACTCAGGAGGCTGAGTCAACAGGGTTACTGTAACCATGAGACCACCTTGGAGAGGCACAGGAAATTCAAGGCCAGCCTGGGTTATGCATCGAAACCCTGTCTCCAATAACCCAAAAGAAATTAATTAATCCAGGTATAGTGGCACATGTCTATAGTCCTAGCAATAGGGTTGGCTCATGTATGAGGCTAGTTCATTTGAGCCCAGGGCAACTTAGAGAGGCCCTGTTCAGAAAGAAACAAAAATGGCCCATGGATGAAGCTCTGTGGAGGACCCTGGGTTCATTCACCAGTGCCAGAACTGTCTGGAAGGTGAAGAGGAAATACTGGAGTTTTCAGAATGGCCCAGGGCTCTGTACTGGGCTGTAGTGAGAAAGGCACAGGTGAACAGGAGGAAGGAAAAAGGGAGATACTTTACTGCTCCAAGGGGCCTCCTCAGCTGACCTCAGGGGAGAGAAAGCAAAATGTGATGTTTTTGGCAGGTGGTGGACAATCGGACAGGCTTTTTGTGCAAGCTGAACTGGTCACTCATGATGAAGGTGGCAATAAATGCAGGGTATGCAGCCCAAAAGACATCCCTGCAGTCCCTTGAGACTCATCAGTTAGCTCAAGTAGTCAGTGGCACTTCATTTGTAACAACTCACAGCTTATTCTCACATAGCAGTGCCCAGTGGGCAACGATCACGCAAACAGTGCTTCCTGGGTTAAGCAGTATGTACATAACATGTCCATGAGAGGAGGCTAACCCACTGAGCTGAGACTATTGGGCCCTGCTGCTAAATAAAGGTCCTCAAATCAATTCGTTTGTAGCAACTGCTAGGCCTCTTCAGAAAGCAGTCTGATGTTCAAATGAACGGTGTGGTATGGTACTTCACAAGAGCTTTTAGGTTGGTCAAATGCCTGGTCTGTGAATCCTGCGCATAGCTATGTGATGAAGGCAAAACTCCATTTTTTCATGGTAAGGAAAATATGATCAGTTGACATGAAATTCTCCATTAGATTGCGTACTTTCAATTTTGTATTTCTTAAAGTATTGTCAATGCTATTATGTCAATGTTTCAAAGAAATTATCGGTTATAGTATAATTAATTCCTTAATAGTTTTTTGAGCCACAGTCTTGCTATTTCATGCCACCTGGCCTAGCACTCATAGCACTCACCCTGTCTCAGCCTCCCAGGACTGCGATTACAGGTGAGTGCCAACATGCAAGGCTGTGAATATTAAATTGCATAAATGAAACCTAAAATTTGTTAAAGAGTGAAAGCATTTATTAAATATAGGCACGAATGGTATAAAATAAAATTTCATTAAGAAACACTTCACTAGCTTCAAAGTTAGCTAAATCATAAGAATACTCAAATTGACACTTGTGTTCATGATTAAACTCCTTTCATTTCTTTATTCAGTAAACAAACTGAGCTATTAGATGTCAACATTTATAATAAATACAGTTAGCTGTCTATGTGAGGTTTTCTGAGGGTGATTTAACATTTTGTTTTCAACCCACATAATAGGGACGTGTGATGTATAAGAATGTTTTGTTCAACACTGGACTGCATGCTCAACTATGGTCCTTGAAACGATATCGCCCAGTGATGTGGGAGATGTAAGTGTGTGTGGCCACCTGCTTACATTTGGATAATAATGAAAATAACAAACCACACATGCTTTGGATCATATTCTCAATGTAAGCAATGCATGAGTAAATATGCAATCAAAGAAATACTACAATGCCAATACAACAGCAATATAAAATTTTCATCAAAGATTAATTTACCTGATTCACTTTTGAAGCTTTGAATTCCATTTCAAGTGTTGCATAAGAAATTTCAAGCTGTTGTTTTGCTTCAACTTCTTGAGAACATTTTTCCTTGAGACTTTTTCTCTTGTCCTCTTCTTTTAAGACAAGTCTGAAGTGAAACCTGTGTATTTAAAATGTATTTTTAAAGTGGATCAACAAGCCAACCCCTTCCTCTGAGTCAGTGACAGTCACAGGCCAAGGGAAGTAGAAATATGAAGCCAATGGCTTCCTGTGAGCCAGCAGTTGGGCTGGGAGATAAGAGCTGAGCTCCTCCCAACCCCTGCAAGCAACCAGCTGATCACAGACATACAGGCTGGGATAATAGCTACTGAGGCAGGAAGAAAAACAACTTAAGCCTGTAGTGTTTAGCATTTCACTTTGCAGGCCTAGCCCAGTGCTCTGAGCATTTACTTGGTGGAAAATAATATGCAGTATAGCAGCTATGGGAGAGTTCCTTCTAAAGGCGAAAGCCACTGTTAATTCCCTATTATCTTGTTTTAAAGTTCTGTATCACTTTCAGGGTTTTGTTTGGCTTGTGTTAGTTTTATTCTGTTTTACTTTGTTTCATTTTATTCTGTTTATTGACAGCTATTTCAAAGATAACAAGACATACTATTGAAGCTGATGGTGATTTCTTATTATCTTGTTTTTGAAGTCTTCCATTGCTTTCATTGTTTTGTTTCGATTGGTTTCTGTTCTGTTTTGTTTCATTTTATAATGTCTGATGGTATGGCCGGCTATTTTGAAGACAACAAGAGGCATTATGGTAGCCATTGTTGATTTCTTATGGTCTGGTTTTAAAGTTGTGTATCACTTTCACTGTTTTGTTTTGATTGGTTTTATTTATTGTTTTATTCATGTCAAAATAGAAGAAAATATAACATGCATTTTTTAGAAAATATAAAGTTCTAGCTATGATCTGGCTGTATATGTTGATTTAGTATCCTAATGAAATGCTTTCAAATATTTTTCCTTCCTATCTGTCATATTTTATATCTTTCAATTTAATCTCTTCCAAAGGGCACACCTACTTGAAGAGTGTGTGTGTGTGTGTGTGTGTGTGTGAAACACAATTCTGAGAGGTAACATCTTATTTTATACATCACTAAGGTAGGTGAAGATATGCCAAGTAACTTGCACATGTGCAAGTACAGACAGTAAGAATTTAAACCCAGGAATGTTCCACAGTACAGTGGATTCCCTAAATGCACAGTACTGGTCCTAGAGCACTTGCAATTGCAAAAGACTGCAAATTTCAGATATGATCATAAAAATGCTTATCAATGCCCGTTTTATAGTTTAAACTCTATAAATATGCTATGACTTCTGGAATTACGTAATTTAATAAAATATTGTATTGATGAAACTTTAGTGTGGGGCATTTTGGCAGCATCATTGGGATCTTAGGGTTTTTAAGAACACAACTGACAACAATGGAGACAGACACATGCAGTGCATCAACCTGTTACAATGCAGAGATGGGTTACAAGGCAGCAAGCACTCCAAAGCCAGAAGAACTGAGTAACGTGTGAATGCACTACTCGCAAACCTCCTGCCAGAAACTCCTTGTGGAGGATCCCTGTGGTTGCCATGAAACTGTGGGGGGCTCTGTGAAAAAATGTTAGGATCCAACTAAAAATCAGTGAAAGAGTGAGGCTGAGAACTCTGAACTGTGACATCGTGGGAGTATGCCTTATGTTATGAAATAACTACCTTTAAGCATTTAGTGTTGTTAAGTGATGTTAAGACCACATTGACATTTCCCACAGCTTCAAACACTGATGGCACAGGCATGACTATCCTGCTGGGCAGCACTGAAAGGCATGCAAGTGTGGCTCCACTGTGATTGTGTTAATCCATATCAGCATCCATTGTCAGTTATAATCACATAATTTCTGAGTTTTACAAATATTCTTAAAAATTAAAATGAATAAACATATCTTTCTCTACTGATGGTTTCTAGTGGTGTATGCATACACTCTAAAATCTTAAGAAAACAACTCTTAAATGCTGCATTCTTGCTCAGAACACCTGCTTCCCTAACTTTCCCAGTGAAAGGTGTCTGAAGTGTTGTCCGATCGTCCCCAGTAGTCAGCTTCCTGTGTGACCAGTGTTGAAACTGCTCTTTGTCAAATTCATTTGTGCTTCTCTTAGCCAATCTCTCTGCAGCAATGAGGAGGCTGGGTATCCTCTTGCTTTCCCTGTAGACTACACTGTTCTGTTTTATTTCTAGAAAAGCAATTCCTGCTAACATTCCATTAAAGGAAAATAAAACATTTACAGAGGTTTTAACTTCCTCCATCTTTGACAGTGTCTTGTAATCTTTAAATACACATCACTTGTTGGAGACTAGCAAACAGGAAACGGGCCTTGTTAGACACTAAGGAAGTCACAGATTCCGTGGAGTGCTGCTGTTTATGTTTATTCTTTACTTTCCTCAAAGGCACGTTGGGTCCACTGCTTTAAAAATAAAAAGTCATTTAAGCAACTCAATTCAAAAACAAGGTTACAACTCTAGAGTATGAAATTGTTCATTTTAAGCAGTAGATGAAAAATAATTTTTAAACAAAGCATTGGGTTGAAATTAGTCCAAGCCTACGAAAGGACTGACTGGAGCTGTGGCAACCCCGTGTTGATTCAGTCAACTGTCACTGGCTTCACCCACCAAACAACCAAGCATCCAACCAAACAACCACTTAATGCTAACACTTTGCTTCCTGCAAGGCACACTAATATAGCTACAGATGGAAAATCACTTTCCTTCTGAAGTTTGGCCAGTTTTTAAATTCTACTCTTTGCAAAATCATATACAATGGTACCTGGGTTCACAAACTCAATTGTCTCCACAATCCTGATGGCAAAACAAACTGGACAAGAACTAAATCAAATCTAAACCAATTAAGATCAACACTGAACCTACCCACAGAACAAAAAAATTTTAGAGACAGCATCTTACCATGAGGTACAGGCTGGCCTAGAACTCATTTATGTAGCCAAGACAAGCCTCAAACTCACAGCAACCCTCGTGTCTCAGCATCCCAAGTCAAACTTGCTGGATTGCAGGTGTGTGCCACCATGCTCAGCTCAACCACTAACTTTTATTTGGTTCTGACTCAACTCAGTTTGCAACCAGAATCACAGAAAAAAATCAAGATCAAGAACTGAGGTAGCACTCAGGCACCTGTGTTATAACAACACCATGCCCAACCAGCATAGCTCTCTCTTTCCAGAGGAAGCAACACAGTACATTCCAATTTTGTCTTTTAATTTCAGTTTAGAAAGTTTTAGTCCTTTGGCCATGATATTTTTTGAAGCCTATTAAATTTAATATCTTTGTGTTTTATTTTTCTTAATAAACTACAAATGAAGCCTGCAATTCTTTTAATCCACTGTACTGTAAGTGAAACTACCCTAAAAGAATGAAGAATCACAATATTCAAAATTTCTTCCTAAATGAAAAAAATATTAATGTAGAGTAAAAACTAAAACTTTCAGAATGAATTTTCTTCCTGAACCCTTTTTTCTAGTACAGGAGGTTGAATCAAGAGTGTCCTAACACTGAGCGCTACCCCCAGTCCCTTTCTATTTTGAGGCAAGGACCTGCTCAGCTTCTTAAGCAGGATTCGCTTTTGCAATCCTTCTGCCTCAGCTTCCTAAGTCAAACTTCTGTAAGTGACAAATTAGCCTACTGTTTAAAATAATACACAAGGAGTAAACTCTACTCACACTGAGTAAATACTGACTAGCTACTCACTGTGTGCTACACCTTTTTGTATGCACTGGTGATATTGTAGTAAATACACACAAATTCTATGGACGACAGTAAAGTATACACTCCACAACAACAAATAAGACAGGAAAAACATAAAATATGTATGAGGAAGGGAAATAAAGTAACTTTAATTTATAAATTGAATTTTGTAAGTTTTCTATATTCACTGCTGAAAAATACAGTGGAGTGCATTATCTGTAAAAATGAGACAATGATGTACACGTGGGAAACTTTAAAAGACCGGCTTAGTACATTAGCAGCAAACTAGGGTTTAGCATTAAGGTTTAGTGAATCATTGTCAGTGGAGCAATTCCAGTCTATCATCTAACTTTAAAATAAATTCTTCTTTATTGGCAGTGCTGGAGACGAATCCCAAGGCCTCTTGTGAGTTAGGCAAGTGCTCTAATACAGAACTATCCCTCAGCTCTGTAGATCAATTTTGCTGAAATGTAGCCACAGACATTCATTTGTTGTCTACCTCAGATTCTAGATGACCACAAAAGAGATTTCATGCCATGAAGCCTAAAATATCTACTACTTGATCTTTGCAGAAAAAAGTTAATTCTTGATTTACTACTAAAAGACCCTTTGGTGACATTTTAAAGGATTTTTACCTAATATACTGAAAACTAATCAATCATGGATCCTCATGCAATCCTTTGGCAATATTCAGATGAACATGAAGGTCCAGATTACAGTACTTATATCCTGAGAAAAAGCAAAAGTCTAACAGCTACCAAATTTCTTGGTAATAAGATCTTCAGTGCAGCCTGCAACTTTCTTTGGCAACTTAGCACATATAACAAGTATTACAGCAAATTTGCTGAAGACGTATTATTAAACAATGCTTTAAAAATATTTTGTGAAATAATCACAATGAATATTATCTAAAGGCTCCATGCTATATTATTTTATGGATATAGCAATTCAATTATTTCCTTACTGCTAAGCATCTAGACTATCTCACACTTTATGAGAATGTTAATAGTTAATCCTTCAACATATGAATGTATATAGGTAACACATTTACATAATTATTATCAACCTGTTATACCAGCTTAATGCTCATATTATGTATATGAAGTATATACACTCACCAATTTTAGCCTAGAGGATATGTACATTAAATGTCTTTAATAGCTATGTACATGTGTGTGATCATGGATCTTGTATTCCTTTCCAAGAAGGATTCAGTTTCATAAGAGAAGGCATTAGATTAAAACAATGAAATCATTGAGATTTAATTAATGCTATTAAATTGTTCAAATGCACTTCATAATTTCACTTACTAACAGTACATAATGATGTCTGTTTCCTCAGACTGGCTAATTCATCCAAATGTTTAAAAAACATTTCTCAAGATAATTGGAAAAATGATATCTAAATTGTCTGTATTTTTCTGACAGTCATTCAAAGCTGAGTATCTCTAGTAAAAGCAAATAACTTCTTAATCACAAATACAGGCTCACGTTAGATTTTGTTGTACAGAACAGTAACTATTTATGGTCAAATATTTCCATAGTCTTACCTATCATGTTCTTCTTTCTTCTCAGTAGGCAACTGCTGGGTGTCAGTTTTTCCACTCTTTCTTTTTCCTTCAACCTTTAAAGAAAGTTTGATGTAAAGGAAAACTTACTTTTCACTCACTGACTTTATTAAATATTTTGTTCTTTATATCACTTGACTCAGTTCAGCTGTCATTATTTCAGTCCAGAAAGACATGTATTTTTTTCTGCAGCACTGGTGATTGAAGCCAGGACCTTCACCCTGAATTATATCCTCCACCCTTTATATTAAATTTTCTGACAGGACACCACTGGGATCATGTCACCAAGGCTGGAATCAAACATGTGATCTTCCTGCCTCAGCCTTCCAGGGTATTGGGAGTACAGGAATGTGCCACCACGCTGAGGCATAAACAATATTTTTGTGTCTACCTTATCATTACAGGTCAATGAAATTTTTGCACATTCTGCTCCATTTTTGTTTGAGTGAAAGAAACAGAACTTTCCAAATTTTGAAAAGCACTAGGTTTTATTTTCATTCACCTTGCTATCCAACATTTTCATCCCCTGTATTATTGGTAGAAATAAAAAGTCAAAGGCATAGTGGGTCTTTTGTTTAGAGAATGTGTTACTGTAGGGCTTTCTGGAACAAAAGACTCTTACAATTTCAGGATCAAGGTATTCTTTCCCTTGCCTTTCACAATTCTTTTTCCATTTGGATACTCTAACTGGGATTTCAAGACAGTTGTAGGTACTCACTGAAATATATACTTAAGCCAACACAACAAACACAGGGAATCAGAAGTAATTCAGATTAAATGATTCCTGCAAAGCTTCTCAGTGGCATTTCCTGCACCTCATGACACCAATAGAGAATACAATTGTATAATGCAGGAATGGACAGATTACCAGGTGAACTCAAAAAAATCAAGCCAATAAATTACAAGTGTGATTATTCAGAAATAAAATTTAAGAGCAGTAATAATAAATATGTGGAAATAGGTGGTCATCTTGGAATTACACAGTCCATGAGTGATTTGAGTAAAAAGGTAAATTTGCACACATGACAGTAGAAAAATGGACTCATTTGACTAGGAAGATTCACAGCAAATCTCAAACATAGATAGACTTTTAAATCTCACTCATTGCTTCTGTTGCATTTCAACTTCTTTTATGGTGTAAACATAGCAAATGCAATTTATCACTAAAGTAATAGACAAATAAAACTTCAGATGTTAGTTTTTGCAAGCAACTTGCTCTGTGTTTATCTTGGTTCAGGTCACAAGGTAAGGGCACTAATACTGTCCCAGGTTACATGCAACTTGGGAGACTCAGAAAAACGCTGATGAAGGAACAAGGATCACAAGAATGGTTTCCCAAATTCCCACTATTTAGATAGTAGAAATGAACTCTTTCTGGACATATTTTCATATTTAGATAACCTCATTTTATATGTGAACTCTTCACAAGTGGAAACCAGAATGTAACTAGTAAAGAGCAAAACCGACTAGCACTGTGTAAACTACTCTTCTATGTTCTGCAAGTGCTCTGCCACTGAGCTATAAGCCAGGATGGCCTTTTTATTTCTAGAGGAGATAGGGTCTTACTAAGGTGCCCAGGATGGGATTGTAATGGGAGTCCTCTTGCTTCAGCCTAAGGAGCTGTGAATACAAGTGTGTATTCCATAACCATCCATGGTTACCACAAAATTTTGCAGGGGTGAGGAGGGTATAACCCTGGGATGTATCTGTTATATACATTTTCAATGCTGAGACAGGGTTTTTCTAAGCTGTTAAGATGCTCCCTTTGGGCTCAAACTTGCTATCTTCCTGCCTTGGCTTCCCAGAGTGCTGGGTAACAGGTTTGTGCCACCAAGCAAGGTTTACTTAAATGTGCCTTTCTACAAAGCCAAGAAATCTACTTGTAACATGCCTATTTCATGCTTAAATCTTTTCTATCCTGCAAAATCACCATGGACACTGGCAAGAAAAAAACCTAGATTCAAAGTAACAACTTTGAAAACCTCTATTTAATAAATTGTCAGACTATAGAAAAAATAGATTTCTAGGCACATACGAATGACCAAAATGGAGCTAAGAAGATAGCCCAGTAAAAAGCAATGAAATGGTGGCAGTAAATGTAAACAACCAAGTAATTCAGAAATCACTTCTAAAGCCCAAAGAAGGGAGGAAATTATAAAGGTCAGAGCAGAAAACAATGCAATAGAGACTAAGTAAACAATATGAAGAATAAATGAATAACAAAGTTGGTTCTTTGAAAGAATAAATAAAATTGACAGGCCTCTAGCCAACCTTATTAAAAGTAAGGAAAAAACTCAAATTCATGTAATAAGGAATGAAAAAGATGAAATCACAACAGACCCTGTGAAAATCTCTTTTGAAAACTTCTACTCTCATAGGCTTGATTACACAGAAGAAATGGAGAGATTCCTAGAAATACATGAATTACCAAAGCTGGGTCAATAAGATGTAAAACTTCTGAAAAACACAATTTCAATTAATGAAATTGAAAATGTAATTAAATCCCTACCAACAAAGAAGACCCCAGGTCTAGACAGATTCACTGTGTAATTCTACAAGAAATTCAAAGAAGATTTAATGCTGACATTCCTCAAACTCTTTGATGAAATTGAAAGGGGAATAATTCTCCCTAACTCATTCCTGAAAGCAAACATTACTCTAATACCAAAACCTTATACCAAACACCCAACCAAAAAAGAGAATTATAGGCCAATCTCCCCAATGAACATAGATGCAAAAATTCTCAATAAAATTTAGGCAAACAGAATGCACCAAATCATCAAGATTATTATACACCATGACCAAGTGGGGTTCAACCCAGGAATGCATTCCAGGAATGCAAGGAACAATGTGTATGTTCAACATACACAAATCAATAAATTTAATCCACCATATCAATAGAGCCAAAAATAAGAACCACGTGATCATTCCTACACATACAAAAAAAACTTTGATAAGGTCCAACACTTATTCATCATAAAAAAAAAACCTTACAGAAAATGGGAATAGATGGTTTTTACCTCAATATGATAAAGGCTATCTATGACAAACCAACAGCCAGCATCATATTAAATGGCCAGAAAATGAAAGCCTCTACCTTAAAATTAGGCACAAGACAAGGATGTCCCTTACCACCACTCCTATTCAACACAGTACTGTAAATACTAGCCAGAGCAATTGGACAAGAGAGAGAAATAAAAGGAGTAAAGACAGAATAAGAGGAAGTTAAATTATCATTATTTGCAGGTGACATGATACTCTACACAGACGACCCCAAAACTCCATTGAAACACTCCTAGGTATAATAAATAAATTCAGTAAAGTAGATGGATACAAATTCAACACTCAAAAATCAATAGCATTCCTATACACTAACAACAAAACCACTGAGAGAAATAAGAGAAGCCATACCCTTTACAATATATATCAACAACAAAATGAAATACTTACGATCTAATCTGAAAAAAGAGACAAAAGATCTGTCCAGGGAAAACTATGATACCCTTAAAAAAGAAATTGAAGGGAATCTCAGAAAATTGAAAGACATCCCTTGTTCATGGATAGGAAGAACGAGCATTGTGAAAATGGCCATTCTCCCAAAAGTGTTATATAACTTTAATGTAATCCCAATCAAAATACCATTAGCATACCTCACAGATCTAGAGAAATCACCCCTAAAATTCATCTGAAACCAGAAGAGACCCAGAATAGCAAAGGCAGTTCTAAGCAACAAAGGCAAGGCAGGAGGAACCACAATCCCTGAATTGAAGTTATAGTACAAAGCTACTGTAATAAAATCAGCATGGTATGGAATAAAAACAGATGTAAAGATCAATAGAATACATTAGAAGATACAATAACAAACACACTCAGCCACTTTTTCTTTGATAAGGGGGCCAAACATGTCCACTGGAAGAAAGATAGTTTCTTCAATGAATAGTGCTGGAAAAATTGGCTCTCCATAGGCCAAAAACTAAAACTAGAACCATGCCTGTCACAGTGTACTAAACTAACTAAATGCATGAAAGATCTAAAAATCTTAAGACAGAAACAGTAAGTTTGTTGGAAAACAAAGTAGGTAGAAATCTTGAATACATAGGGGTAGGTACAGAATTCATGAATAAGACTCAAACTGCACGTGAAATGCTTCACAGAATCAATAACTGGGATCACGTCCTATTAAAGAATTTTTTACATGTCAAAAAAATATCCAGCATAGCCAAAAGAAAACCCACAAATTGGAAAAAAATCTTAGTGAACGGTCCCTCAGACAAAGAACTTCTGTCTAGAATATATAAAGAATTTAAAAAATCAGATGCCCAAATTCAAAGACCCATTCCAAAAATGGGCATCTGAGATGAACACACACTTCTCAGATGAAGAAATACAAGTGGCAAATAAATACATGAAAGAATTCAGCATCATTGATCATTAGAGAAATGCACATTAAAACAACACTGAGGTTTCATCTCACTCCAGAAAGAATGGCCAGGATAAACAAAACTACCAACAACAAAAGCTGGAGAGGCTGAAGGGAAAAAGGAACACTTCTGCACTGTTGGTGGGGATGTGCAACCACTATGGAGGTCAATCTGGAGATTCCTCAAAAAGCTGGGATTGGACATCCCATTTGACCCAGCTATCCCACTTGTGGGCATATTCCCAGAAGAACTGAAATCATCATGCCACAGTGATACATGTGCAGCCATGTTTATAGGCACAATTTGAAATAGTCAGATCTTGGAAAAACTTAAATGCCCATCAACTGAGGAATGGATAAAAAAGATGTGATATTTTTATACAAAGGAGTACTACTATGCTATAAAAAATGATCACATTGAGATATTTATAAGTAAATGGATGCAACTTGAGACCATACTCACAAGTGAAATAAATCAAACTCACATAGGATTGGAACAATTGTGAATATTATTGTATAGTTATCCGAGGAACTCTTGAAGATCGTTACATAAAATAACAACCCTAGTTATGCTCCTACCACCTTGTTTTGAAGGCCTATATTTTCAGTGTTCTAGGCTCTTTCTATTGTTGTCTATATGTCTTTTTTGTTTCAGGTTTTTCTAGTAATTTGTTTTGTTTTGTCTTGTTTTGCTTTTCCCTCTAATACAGAAAGGACAGGTATACATGCAGAAACTCATGCATGTGTAGAACTTCTAAAAAGTTCATGAGAGTTGATAATATAATGCATGATGAGATGAACAGCTACTCTGAAGAAATAGACACTAAGGTTACCAGTGCTGATTCCATAGCATCATGATGTGAAATTCAGCAATACTATTATTCTTTGGTCAGAGTGATTTTAGCCTGTTTTGTTTGGTTTAATTTCAACATACATGAAAGTATGGACAGCTATTTTGAAGAGAGTAAGAGACGTTATGGCAGCCATTGTTGACTTCCCTATTGTCTGGTCTTAAAGACCTAAAATGCCTTCATCATCCTGTTCTGATCAGTTCTATACAATTATGTTTTGTATGCATTCATTGTATGTGGCGATATGGACAACTATTTGGAAGAAAACAAGAGAAAAAATGATAGACAGTGAAGATCTCCAGTTGTCTTGCTTTGCAATCTGTGTCTTTTATATTGTTATCTTATGATGTTTTGTTATGTTTAATTTTACCCTCTTTTTAAAAAATCAGCAAAATAGACCCCCCACAATAAAAGACTCAGTTTTAAAAAGGGCAACTGAAATGAGTCTACTTTTCAGAAGAAATACAAGTAGTCAATAAGTACATGAAAAATTGTTGAAAATCACTGATCATTAAAGCAATCCAAATTAAAAATTAACAGTAAGACTCCAGATTATTCCAGGAAGGATGGTTATCAAGAAAATCAAAAACAGCAAATGCTGGAGAGGTTGTGGGAAAAAGAGACCATTTTACATGGTTGGTGGAATGTAAACTAGAATAACCACCATGGGAATCAGTATGGGGATCCCTCAAAAACTAAAATTAGAAATTCCACTTGTTCTAATTATTTTCTTTCCAGGCATCATCCCAAAAGAGTTAAAGAAAATATATTACAGTGATACATGGTTATATGGTTTTTGATCAATTTTTCTTATACTTTTTCACATAATGAGTTCCCAAGTGTAAAGATATATCCAATCTCTCAAAATCTATAATGGTTTCTGATTCTTAAGAGACTTTTTCCAAATGTAGAAGTGGAAGATTAGTTTCCTTGGTCTGATTCTTGATGCCTTTTCTTCAGGGGAGCATATTTTTAACATAATATTCTTCTTAAGAAACCACAAAGTTTGGAAAAAGGGAAAGTAGAAAATTAAAATTTAGCCTGTCTCATTGATGACTTAATTTACATAGCTACTTCTTCCTCAGTGGACTGCAACAAAGTGGTTGAAAAATAATCTACCTTACCTTAAAACAAAGAGAAAAACATGAACCAACACCTTCACTTTATCTGTGTGTAGACTAAACTTATGTTCTAAATTTAAAAATATGTACTAAGTGATCTTTAATATTATAAATCTGTTCCCATATAAAGATATTTTATCTTACCATTTGTTATGGCTTGGGCCTACCTGTCCCCTCAAAGACCCATGCAGTCATAGAGCTTTTTCAGAGGTCACTGAATCTAGTTTGTGGTACTGGAATTAAGGGTGTGCCTGCTACATCAATTCACTGATTGGTTTGGCATCACCCTAATCCTAGTAGTCTGGATAAGATAAAAAGTGAAGACCCTATTCAGGTCTTCTGCTGCATTTGATGTCTTCTGGCAACATGCATGTTTGCCCCTCTGCCATGCAGCCCTACCTTGGGCCCAACAGATTACTGACTGAAATCTCTACAAATCATGAGCTAAATAAACCTTTCTTCATTTTACTTTGGGTGCTGGGTATTTTGCCTTATCAATGAGAAACTTAACTAAAATGTCACCCTTTAAACAGCGAATCCTTCATTAAAAAGTCCTTTGTTCTAAAGCTTACTAACTGGAGTATAGGTAGACTTTAAATTACTGAGAGACAAGGTCACCAGTCAGAGTGATTCAAATTTATACCACAAAAGTGTTGCGCATCCATGTGAACTACGTTTGTTAAATCCACTTCTAATATATTCTAATGTTTACTACACAGAGTGGATGAAGTACTTACTGATTTCTTACATTGAAGTAAGAAATTATTGTTTGTACCCTAACACCAAAGTCTCAGTTGGGAAGGTATGAGTCTTTGCAGCTGGGTTGACTTTATGACCGTTCAATGTAGGCAATGGAGTTAGCTAGAGACTAGAAAGTACAATTCAATTCTTTTTTTTTAATTTTATTTAAGGAGAAAAAAAAGCAGAGAAAGGGCACAAGTTATACAGATTTACAGAAAAAAATGAACAGTAGGAAATCACTAGTTAATGGATTACATATTGTCATCTTAGAAATAATTGTTCAAGTCACAAAATTAAAGCTTGTAAAGTGGACATTCCATCAATGATACTGCAAACAGATCTGTTCAATGATCCAATAAAACTCTGTGATATCATTTTCTATCTTATACACTTAAATATACATGCAGTTATATAGTTTAGAGCACTTTCTTTTCCTCTCTTTTGTACAATGACTATTACACATTTTGGGTTTCATTGCTCCCACGGTTCTTATTACTTTTTTGGAAGAGAGTAAAACCAAATGTGACATAACAGAACAGAATCGGTCAAGTCAAAAGGGTGGACATAATAGATAATGTGAAAACATAATACAAGGTGATCAACAGTGGTTACCATAATGCCTCCCACTATCTCTAATAGAATTGCCTATATCGTTAGTTATAATACAATTGAACAAAACAGTAAAGAATAAAACCGACAAAACCAAAACATTGGAGACATTGGAGGTCTTCAAAAGTAGATAAAAGAGAATGGGCGTTATAATGAATCTCATTATCTTCACAGCTGATGCCTAAACTTTTGAACCTGACACTATCCAGCAAAACAGAATAGGGGAGCATCAGTTAAAAACCAGATAGTGAGAGTAATACAGGGCTTTAAATTGAGGTAATGGAAAGTCAAAGTGGGTTACTATAATATATCCTGCTATTTTTTTCCTTTAATTAAAAGGATAAAAATAAAAAAGTAAATAATGGAGTGGAGATTGAGATAAAAGAGGGCATAACAGCCAAACAGCGCAGATCAAAACATAACCATTTAAGCAGAATAGTGTTTCACCACCAGATAATCCTGACCTAAAAGTAGTTACCATATTGTCTCTTTCCTTTCTAACAGGACTCAGGAATACATTGCTGAGGCTCTGGGAATGATCACCATTTGTTGTGCATCCAACAGTGGTCATCACTGTTCCACTGGCCCTAACATGAGCTGCTTAACAAAAGGGCTTGAACCTGGACTCCCTTTCTTCGTCATTTAAGAACATTGCACACATGGAAGCACTTTTGCCTTAAATCTAAAACTTAGACATAAGTTACTATAGATTCTAAGAATAACTTGTTTATAACTGGTTAAAAGTTTTTTCTTTTGGAGGGGGTCTCAGGAATCAAACTCAGGGGTATATGCAGGCCGGCATTTGTGTCACTGAGCCACGTCCTTGGCATGACTGAAATATTTTCAAAAGTAAATATTAAATCATAAACCACTGATTCTAAAATGTGAGTCAGAAAAGTCATTTCATTTGGCTTATACTATATTATTAAAGAAAACAAAACAATGTTAAACTAGGCATATAAATTTACATTTTTACTTACCTGGTCCTGGCTGTTTTCACTGTCATCACGTCTTCTCAAATCTTCCTTTAATGTCACTTCTATGTTCAGTTCTTCTGAAAAATTTATATATTTATGTAAAATAAACTACTTAGAACAGATAAAAAGTGAGTTTTTATGAAGTAGAAAAACTAATACAAATTTATTTTTATTTTCCAGTTAAGAATTAAATAATTGAATTAATCCTAATTTTTGGATATTTACATAGAAATACTTGTAATTATCCTCAAATTAACAAATTATTTGGAAAGATATTAGATATCACTATATTGAAGATATAGGGACCTCTTAGAGCTTCATCATGAATTTACTCCCTAAGCATAGATGGAAGTCAGAAATATTTCAAATACAACAGAAACATATAAATCCACTCTATGCATTATTCTCCCACACATCTTGGCTACTTTTAAACAGCTCAGCATGTTATTATTAAAGGTCTGTAAATTACTATTACCTTTACATGTTTACCAGTGAACACCCTTTTCTTTATGTCTGCAATGTCTTCATCCACTCTTCTGGCAACATTTTAAAAAATCTTTTAAGACTCAGTTTATAATGTGAATTATTTCTTGATTATGTTTACCTTCTCCACATAAAACAACTGCTTCTTTCTTTGGGGCTCCCTTTCATCAATGTTTCCACTGTATCTTTACCACACAAACAACAAACTTACTTCCTTATTAAACTTTTTGATCCTGTATTGCATGGGACAATCTTTTAAATCTTCTTTGTATACAAGTCTTCCTTCATCTTACTCAAAAACTATTTATGGAATTCTTGCTAAGTGCTAAGCACTGGGGTTTAGAGAGCATAAATAAAAGGTATAGGGAATGGCTTTTCTAGAGGTAATGATGAGCTTAGAATTAGAGTGAGGTTAGCCAGACACAAGGCAGGGAATTGTGGGAGTATGAAAGGTAGTAGCAAGAGAAAAAAATATTAAATGGGAATGATACTGATCTAAAAATAGAGGAATCACAATGGAAAATATCACTAGCTGTTTAGGAATGCCTGAGATCAATGAGGGCAGACAGATGAGAAGGCTGAACATACAGAAGTAGAAGTCAGATCATGCAAGCCTAAAGGTAACTTTGAGATGTTTGCGCATCAGTGCTTTGAACAGTGGCTCATGGTCACATCTGTTCCAGAGATCAATCACTCTCAATAGTCAGGAGGATGAATATGATGGCCAAATGAATAAAGGGAGGGAGATGAATTCATAGAAGGAACCAGTGTCAAGTAAAGCTGATGCAGGCCTAAACCTCTTAAACAGTCCATAAATTCTATTTCCAGAAATATTCAGATATGAAATCATGAGCACCCGTTATAGAATGAATTTTTATTAAATAAGTAAATGTATACAACTGCATCCTTGGAGAACAACACTCTACTAATTATTTTTCAAAAGATATCATTTCACAAAAGAGTTGTGAAATGAACTACTTAGATTTCTTTAACTTGCTTGAGTCTACTCTGTAATTCTTACTTCACTTGTTGCGATGTGGAGGGAACACATTTAGTGTTTTGTGTAAAATGCCCCGCTTCTTGAGGTTACCACATACATCAACACATAAGAGAAGGGCTGAAGGTGAATTTCAGAGGTAGAGTATGTGCTTAGCATGTGCAGGGATCTGAATTTATTTGAGATTAGTCTCCAGCGAAAAGGTTGGGGAGAGGAAGGCAAGGAGAGCAGGAGATGCAAAGAAGTCACATCTGTGGGGAAATAATTTTGGGTTTATAGCCTATACCCATTAATTTAGGAGATAACTAGTAGTCTATAAGATATGGTAAGGACATATACATTATGTTTCAAGATTTCTTATCAATGTAATCACATGATTAAGGGCACTAATTTAGCTGCTACATAAAGTAGAATACATATCAGGTGACACCAATGAATAGATTGTCCTACTAATTGAATTTAGTGATTTAATTTTTTAGAATGGCAAAGCAAAGAATGGAAGTTAATGTTTATTCACAGGAAAATGCAAGATATGAGATTCCACATAGTGCTAAGAAACCCTTCAGGGGATAACCTTCATATAATATTTACAGTTTGCAACTGTTCAAGTATAGTTTCATTGTAAGAAGTGCTACAAACACAAATCACATTTTAAAAAAGAGTTCTCAGTAGAGAAGCAGACAAACTTGTGCCAAACATAGGACACAAGAAAAATTGATGCGTCCCTCAGCTGCATGCGTAGAAGATAAAGGTACCAGGAGCCAAATCCTAAATCCGGAAAGTGCAGCCTTCAGAGGTAGTTTCTGGCACAACATTTTGATCTTGCTCTACATACTTCTCAATCAAGTTTAATGAGACCTTATTCACAGACTCATTCTCACGGTCTCGTAGACCTTCAAGCTTGCCAAACGCCCGCATTCTTTGATCATTACACTAAGCTGCTCAGTTTTGTCTAGATTCTAGCAGCCTGAAAAATATTTGAAATGGCATCCAGAAGAACAAAAATAATTTTCCTATCTTTCGCAGTTATCAATGGTTCTATTTTACTAGACTGCACAAAGTATAAACCTGGCCAACTGCCCCATGGTTCATGTAGTTGGTCACGGCCCACACAGCTTTCTTCTGAGTCATAAAGTCTGCCTTAGGACACTGACAAGGAAAGGGACTAATCCATGATGGACAACTTGCTGTATCTGGTCCTGTTGGCCAACTGTGATGTTTGACTCTGTCCATGTAGCTTCCTTTTGAAGATTAGTTTTGGGGTGAATGAGCAGGCTGGGAAAAGCAGCAGATGATCCTGCATCTCTCACAATCTGAGTCTCTTCTTTTCCAGTGACATTATTCCCTATGGCTAGTAGCACGGGAGGCAGAACGGACAATTCACTTGATCCTAGAAGTTTCAGCAGATGGTGCACAACTCCTGTTTTTACAACTACTTCAGTGCGTTCATTTGGACCACTGGTAAGGTAAGAAATAAGATCACCGTCTACAGGAGATGAACCAAGAGAGAAAGAATTTGCTCAACAGTATCTAACAGCTATGCAGGATTCTCATTGCAGCAAAGGTATGAAAGTGTCCAGATAAGATTATGTAACCACCTTCTAATGATGACATACAAGGAACTTCAAGAAGAGCCAACAGTGGTTCAATTGTACCATGTTAGGTAACCAAGACTTGGAAAACTGAACCATCACCTGCAATATTTCAAGAGCACAGACAGACAGGTCACTGATGTGAGCATGGGGAAATGCCAAGACAGAAAAGAATGCTGAGATAACACCTCCATCCAGAACATCCTTGGTCTGTCCTGATGACCCAGAAGTAATATTAGTGAGTTCCCATGCAGACTCAAACTGAGTGAGACGACAGTCAGTCCTGCCCAAGCAGGACACAAATTGTAGAATCAAACAGGCCCAGATTATGTGATCTATGGGAGGCTGTTTTCCTGAGAAAGCAGCTGCCTGGCAGCTTGAGTAGTGGGAGCTCACTTTCCAGATTATAGCTTTTCATATCTTTGTGCAGCTATAAACATAGGTGCACATATATCACTGTGGTATGATGCTTTCAGTTCTGGTAATATGCCTAGAAGTGGAATAGCTGGAACATATGGGACTTCCAATCCCAGCTTTCTGAGAAATCTCCACACTCACCTCCACAAAGGTTATACCAGTCTACACTCCCACCAACATACACAGAGCATCTTGATGGACCCTATCTCCTGATCTACTCTGCCTGTGTTTCTTTTTGTTAGTGAATCAAGGCCATCTATGTCAGAGATTATAGCCAACCTTCTCTGCCTCATTTCTGCTATGCTATTTTTCTGCTATTGGTTGTCTACTTTTCTCCTTCATTCCATTGCCTGCCCCATTCATTGAGGCCTCTCTGCCACTGTTCCTGAAATCCTGGGGTTTTTTTCTCCCTCTCTAGAATGTCCTTCAGTATTTTTTGTAGGGTTGGATTGATGATCACAAACTCTCCCAGTTCCTCTTTGTCATGGAAGCATCTTGTTTCTCCATTAATTTTGAGAGACAGTTTTGTAGGCAATATCAGTCTGGGGTGGAGGTTATTTTCTTTCAAGGCTTGGAATAGTTCACTCCAAGCTCTTTTTGATTTGATGGTTTGTGTCAAGAAGTCTGTCATGATTTTGACGGGTTTTCCTTTAGAGGTGATCGTTTCTTTTCTCTGACAGCTTTCAATGTTGGGTACTTGTGAGGAATTTCTGGGATCTTGATTATGATATGTCTGTGTGTAACTCTATTTTGGTTGTAGATTGCTGGAGTTCTGCATGCCTCATACATCTGAATATCATTTCCTTTTCCTATGCTTGGGAAGTTTTTCTTAATTATTTATTTGAATAGTCTGTATTTGCTTTGTGTTTACCCCTGCTTCTTCATTCACATTTTTTATTCTTTTTTTTAAATTTTTTAAAAAATTTATTTAGGGAGAAAAAAAAAAAGCAGAGAAAGGGTACAAGTTATACAGATTTATAGAAAAAAATAAATAGTAGGAAATCACTAGTTAATAGATTACATATTGTCATCTTAGAAATAATTGTTCAAGTCACAAAATTAAAGCTTGTAAAGTGGACATTCCAACAGTGAGACTGCAAACAGTTCTGTTCAATGATCCAACAAAACTTAGTGATATCATTATCTATCTTATACCTTTAAGTATACATGCAGTTATATCATTTAGAGCACTTTCTTTTCCTCTCTTTTGTACAATGACAATTACACATTTTGGGTTTTGTTGCTCCCACAGTTCTTATTACTTTTTTTTGGAAGGGAGTAGAACCAAATGTGACATAACAGAACAGAGTCAATCAAATCAAAAGGGTGGACATAATAGATAATGTAAAAGCATAATACAAGGTGATCAACAATGGTTACCATAATGTCTCCCACTATCTCTAGTAGAATTGCCTATATCATCAGTTATAATAAAATTGAACAAAACAGTAAAGAACAAAACCGACAGAACCAAAACATTGGAAACATTATAGGTGTTCAAAAGTAGATAATAGTCAATGAGAATGGGTGTCATAATGAATCTCACTATCTTCACAGCTGTTGCCTAAACTTTCGAACCTGGTACTAT